TTCCTGGCGCGGCGCGGCGGGGCGGCGGGATTTGTTGCAGGACTCCGGACTCAGGAGTTGGCTCCCGATTTTGTACTGGTGCCAGCTGGGACAGAGGCCCCAGTTTGAGGGCGGGATGAAGACGAATGGGCGAGGAGGCGGGGAGCTGCAGCTCGGAGGAGAGGAAGGGAGGGGCGAGAGGGACCAGGCTGTAGCTTTCACCTTCCTGGCTTCGTGTTCGTGGGTTCCCGGGGACGGTGCTTAATAACCTCGATGTCCCCAGCAATGATCACCGGAGACACCTATAGTGGCATAGCATTAAACGCCTTAATAAAAATAATTTTAAAATCCATTGTTTCATTATATACCTTAGGCCTAGCATCAGAGCTGGCAGCGACTGACAGCAGGGACCAATTATTGGGCGGATTCACTGTATTCCATGAGTGCTGCATGTGCTAGGCACCGCTGGCCGCGGTTTATAATTGCAGCGAGGCAAGAGCCACGCCTGGAGAAGCTCAGAGCCTAGCTGGGGACACGAGTCACACAAACAGATGATTATCAGCCCCGCGCAAGCCTCTAGAACAAGTTACCTGTGTAGACCGCCGAGTTGGGGGCGAGGCTCCCGCAGCTAGTGACACCCAAAAGAGCCTGTAAAGACGAGGGGGTTTCAGCCTGAGATGGTTGGGGAGGCATTCCTGGCCCTGGCCCAAGGTTGCAGTCTCCCAGGGTACCTTTGAGGGGTGGGATCCGATGAGCCTGCATCATGGATTCTCCTTTTCGCAGATGGGACCAGAGTGTTCTGCCCGGTTCTCATAGCCGCTGGTTTTCTTGGCAGCGGATTAGAGCGTGCTTTGCCTGGTCCCATCTAGTGCTGGTTTCTCAAAACTGCTAGTATTCGTGACTGGGGGATTGGTGGGCCATGCTCAGGGACTGTGGTAGTGGTTTCCTAGCTGTGAGAAAGCTGCTATGATCTTGATCCATCCTTTGTTTTAGATCACTAGGACAGTTCAGTTTTTCCCAAGTTCTTACGGCAATCCAAAGACATGCAGAGCCTTAATCAAGGACATGCACCTGTTTGATGCAGAGTCAAGATTGGAACTGAGTTTCTTGGGGCCAGAACTGGCTCCCTACCCCGTGGCTGCTAAGTCCTGACTCACACCCAAGTTTTCATGAATACTCAGTGAATTGAGAGAAATATGGACAATGCAGTGGCATTTTTATGAAGCATAAAGTTTATGCATTTCCAGAGGACTCACCTTCATTCTGCCTCTTGTTTGGGACAATCATTGACTGTTGTTGGATCATTAAGGCCACCTCTGTTGGTTTCCCTGAGGTGTTGCCCCTGTGAGAAACAGCTGGCCCAGTTGGGGGCCTTGGTTGGAATACTTCCATCTCCTTTGCCCATAATATCTTTGTGCACTTTCTACACCATCCAGAGTGGCTGTTGCATTAATACCTTGTTTTTCAGTTTTGCTACCCTGAGTAAAAATTGATTTTTTTGGGGGCGGCAGAGGGAGGTGACCTCTTTACCCTTCAGAAGGAATTTTGCACATGCCCCATAACTTGTATAATTTTCAAATACTTTATTATGAAAGAATTGTGAAGTGTGTATATGTATGTATGTGTGTGTATGTGTGTGTGTGTGTGTGTGTGTGTGTGTGTGTGTATGGCATCCAGAGTCTGCAGAGAACATTTGTCTTTTGACCCAAGTTATTTCATCTGTTCATCCCTTCATATATTCAGTAACAAGTAATTCTTATGCATCTCAGAGTAAATTGGAGACATTAGTATACTTTCACCATAAAAACTGAGCATGCAAACTAAGAGATTTATGTGCATTTATGTTTTTAAGATGGTATTTCTATCTTTTTAAAGGTGATTTTTCTATATAGTGAAATACACAAATATTAGGCATACTACTCCATGGGCTTTCATAGATATATAGATCATTAAATTCTAAACCCTTACCAAGATATGGAAGATAATGATTACCCTGGAAAGTTTCCTCATGTTGTTTCTTAGTCATTCACTGCAGATTCCTGCAATCTCATTGTTTTGAATTTTTTAAACCATTGATTTTTTTCTTTTTTAAAATAAAACTTTATTATGTATTTTTAAGGTAAACAATGATATTATGGGACATATATAGATAGTAAAATAATTACCAGAGTGAAGCAAATTAAAATATCCATCATCTTATATAGTCAGACATTCTTTTACAGCCAGAGCAGCTAAAGTCTATTTTTTTTAGTAGGTATGCCAAATACAAGCCAATGTACTCTGCTTTCTACTATACTTTAATACAGCTGCATTTGTTTCTAGTTTAGCACAATGCTACACATACAGTTAGCATTCTATATAAACTGGAAAAAAGTATGTGACTATGTATTCTGCATTGGTGACATACCACAATATGTTTAAACATTCCCTATTGTTGCACACTTATATAGCTTTTATTTTTCTCAATTAAAAATATTCCTTAAACCATTGATTTTTTACACTTTACTTTTTGTCAAAGATTTCTTTCATTCAGCAAAGATGTTTTAAGATTCACTCATGTTGCCTGTATCAGGGGTTTGTTCTTTTTATTGCTGAATAGTACTGCAGTATATGAATATAATTCCATTTGTTTATCTTGTTGATGAATAACAATCATTTCTAGTTTTTTGCTATTACAAATAAAATTGTTATGAAAGTTATTATTCCATTCTTTTTATGCCCCCTTGCTTTAAGTTTTCTTTCTTTCTTGTTTTAAAAAACTTTTCGCAGCAAATGCTGGGGCGTGGATTTACTGGGTCATGGGACAAGTGAATGTTTTGCAAGATACTGCTTGGCATATCCCAAAGTGGTGATAGCATTTTATGCTGCCATCAACAGTGTATGGGAGCTCCAGTTGCTCCACATCCTACCAACTTTTGGTGTAGTCATTCCTGTGGTTAGGACGCCATAGCTCCCTGTAGTTTTAATTTGCTTTGCTCTGATGACTAAAGGTGCTAGGCATCTTTTCACATGCTTATTGACCATTGGTACCTGTTCCTTGGGAGTGTCTGTTAACACATTTTTTCTCTTTTAAAAAATTGGATTGTTTTTCTTTTTATAGTTGATCCTTGGCCCATATTTTAAATTAAATCATCTGTGGAGTAAGTGTTGTAATAATAGAGGCCAACATGTAATGATGTGGACACAAAATCTCTCTTACATAATGGCCCAAAGTGGTCTGAGGTTGAAGTAGGGTGGTTAAATAGTTCACTTGCCACAGTATAGAAGGCCCTAGACTCCTTTTGATCAACACGTGACTACTAAGGTGCTAGAAGCATTTCTTTGCCACCACAGAGGGGTAAATGCACGGAGAAGATGTTCTGGAGGTGTACGGACCGGGTCATGGCCACTCACATTCCCTTGGCTAGAATTCCCTTACAGGCCACACCTGTCATCTGCCTGTGTCCAGGAAGCCAACTCTACTATATTGTATAAAGCGTATGTTCCACATTTGGTGAAAATCTGTCCAGCCATTTTCTCATGATGCGGCAGTGGGCTGACAGATGTGATCTCATTTGAAATAACACGTCTTTTTTACGTTCTGTCATTAAGATATCCTTTGTTTTGATCTTGTACAGGATTTTGAAAGATCCTCTCTGTACCAGGAGACTCTGCTGACTCCTCCCTGCAGAGCCTGATGAAGAATGCCAAGCTGGGTGTATCCAACTTTAGCACATTGGTGTCCAAATGTGCAAGCGATTTATTAGGCGTTTCTCACTGTGGCCAGATGGTATTGCTGACAAGTGAACTGGGAGCTCTAAAAACTTTAATAGCTGAGCATATCAAATGTTGTCGTAGGCATGACTTGGATCCACCTAAAAACCTTCATCTGTCTTCATCTCAAAGCAGGCCCTTTGAACAGAATTTAAGTGGGAACTTCAGTGCTCACTGCTTATAATGCATGGGCTCTTCCTCTGAGAAAGGTCACTGTAACAATCTGGACATTTCAAGCCTTCCTTGTTATACAGTGAGTCACTTGGGAGGGGAGAGGGGGGGTCTTCGCCTGTCCACTCCTGGTAGTGCATTGTCTGTACATTATAGCCCAGGAGGCTCTGTGGTTTTTAGGGTAGCCATTACTATAAACATGTTGCTGTCACACTGCCAACATTTGAGCTGGAGGGCCAGCAGGGGAGTTAGCTCAGTGGTTCCATGGCCTGCCTCACAAGCACAGGTCCGAGTTTGATCTCTGGTACCAAAAAAAAAAAAAAAAAAA